ACTTCAAATCCGAAAAAGCCGAAAATATAATAATTTTTTAAATTTTGACTTTTCGAACCGCCTTTGACTTTAATTGGAATCTTATAAGTACTGTTCACGAGAAATATGTTCACGAAAAAAATCAAATCTGATCATCCACACTTGAATTTGCAATCGTTTCTAATAATGGATCAAAATTATCAATATGTTGAAAGTGTGAGGACCAAAGATGGAAAAATGTATCATTTCCCCAAATTGTTTTGTGATAAATGGGAGAGCAACATCGACGATAACACAATAACTCTTTCTGATACGAGACCAGCAATTGCGATAGTTATAATCTGCGAAGCACCAAATGCGAGACCCATTCAAATGCGAGACCTATTCAAATCGTGAGACCAGTCAATTGTGAAGCATTAGATTACGATTGCAAGACCCATCACTGCGAGACCTTATAATCTGCGAGAACTTCGTTCTGATGATACCTTCGCAAATCAAACTTCAGAATTGGAAAAACATAGATGTTTGATAAAAAAACAATGATCTCACAATGATTTCCTTCGCATCGACTAATCTTTGTTCCGATTTTGACATTTAACACATCAATCCAATGTTGACTTTCAAAGTTTGACCACATAATCATTCATAAACAAACACCAATATCATCATTCTAAAAAAGATATCAACCAACTTATAAATATGGGTTACTAGAAATCTCATGATGTTAAGGTGGACACGATGATGGTTTTGTAATTATTCCTGTCAACTGACACATGACGATATGAGGGAAATTTTTAAGATTGGAGGAAGTGTTGACATGGTTGTCACTCATCTTTTACCTTATATCAACGTCCCTTTAATGTCACCTCAAAGATTTTTTTTTGCCACACATTACGAATGGTACCATGACATGTATTATTTTTTTTTAAATTTATTTAAACAATTTAATGTTAATAAAAACTTAAAATTTCAATCGTAAAAATACATATCATGAAACTAAAAACCTAAAAACTCAAATAATAATAATAATAATAATAATAATAATAATAACATAAAATTGAATATCTAAAAACTAGAAAAAACTACATAACATGAGATTAAAAAAGGAAAAAAAACTAAATGTTATAGCTTTTTAAAGAGGTGGAAGAAGTATTTTTAGTTTTGGTAAAATTGAATGATTGATAGTGTTATTTATAATACAAAATAAACTGAATTTTGAAAAACAAAAAGGTCAAATATGAATGAATATATATATATATATATATATATATATATATATATATATATATATATATATATAGAGAGAGAGAGAGAGAGAGAGAGAAAGAGAGTTGGAGTAAAGAAGAGAGAAGTTGTGACATGCGGTAGTCGAGCTCGACACAAGCCATACACTAGGGGAAGTGGGTGTCATGGCCAACGTGGCTTGCTACCGTGACCACTCCCTCAAGCCTAAAGCATAAGTGATCTGTTATTTTTTGGATGGTTATCAATAATTGATTTTTACTTATATCGTTAAAATTTCAATTTAGAGTAACTTGTTGCTTTCGCCTCTTCAATATGTCAAAAGTGTTTGGTTTATTGCACAAATGTTCATAGTTTTCTTGTGTGATTGTCGTCTGGTTTAGACAACCTCATAAAGCTCGTTAAGTCCAAATGGGATAAAGATGGCCTAGTGGTGATCACTTGTAATGAAACACTTCAAAGATGAGTTGATCAGAGTTTAATGTGTTGTTTGTTTTTTCTGAGGCAAAATGTCTGCAGTCTGTGGACCATATCTGCAAACCTCTACAGTAGAATAGGTGGACCAAACGTCTGCAGTATGAAAGAAGAAGATTGTTTTGTTTTTTAACATCTGCAGGGTGTTAGAATAAACTAAAATCTAATTAAACTGATTATATATATATAATATATATATATATATATATATATATAAAAGAGTTTTTTTGATAATTTTATTACTTTGTTATAGATAATAAACAAATGTAGATTAACTTTTATGCATTATTATATAAAAAGTGAAAATAAAATGGTAAGAATTATCATATATATTTAATAAAAACAAACAAACTTTAGTCGTAAAGTTATACCTAAACATTGTAATTAAGGATAAAATAATTTAACACATAACATGAATGGAAATAAAATTTGATTTGAAATGAAAATTTTCAAAGTTTTATTTTACTTTTTCAGTTAAATCAATTAAAAACTGATCATAAATAATTTTCCCAAGAAATGAACGATGTTGTATTAAATAATGTTTTATAAAATTTGGCACAGAAAAATATAAGACAATATTATGATTTTTTTTGTTTTTGTTATTTGTTTTTTTTTACATATCTATATAAACAACTCCACAAATTATTATTGTAATTAAATATTTATTTATAAATTTGTCACAAAGGTCATGATTGTGTTATCGAACCTTTTTTTTCTTTAAGTATGGTAACATTTTTTCCAATTTATTTATCATAGATAAAGTTGGAATAAATTTAAGTTTAAAAATAAAAAAAAGGAAAAAAAAACAAAAGTATATGTGTTTTTTAGGTTAGAAGATGTCTGAAGAGGTTTGAAGACTCTGGTCCACATTTGCGCCAAGAAGAGGATGTCCAGACCTTTTTTGGTCTGCAGTCTTCAAAAAAACAAACAGTATGTGAAGCCTAATGTCTGCGCGTGGTCTGTGCGGCGCAGACATAAGAGGTCAAGAAGATCTGCATATAAAAAACAAAGAACACCTAAATCTCACTATATATTTATCTTTAAAACCCACATTATTTATGTTATTGTGCTTATCTACGTTCGTGATGTTACCCTTCTCAAAAATAACAATGATCGCATTGATAAAACAAAGGCTTATTTGGATGAAAAATTTAGCATTAAAAACTTGGGGTTATTAAAATACTTTGTTAGTGTGGAAACAACACAGCCTCTAGATAAGAGGGGTGTGGAAACAACACAGCCTCTAGATAAGAGGGTGTTAAGTCAAAGAAAGTACCCATTAGTGATCGCTTGTAATGAAACACTTCAAAACTTGGTTGATCGGGATTTAAATCTCACTATATATTTATCTTAAAAACCCACACTATTTACGGTGTTTCACTTATCTACGTTGGTGATGTTATCCTTCTCAGAAATAACAACGATGGCACTGGTAAAACAAATGCTTATTTGAATGAAAAATCCAACATTAAAGACTTGCGGTCGTTAAAATACTTCCTTAGTGTTAAAACAACACGGACTCTAGATGGGATGATGTTAAGTCGAAGAATTAAAGTACCAATTGAATATCTTTATAGAGTATAGCCCTCAAGGTTGACGGCCCAATTCGTTTCAATGGAGCAAATATTCCTCTAGACGATCAGTAGCGAATCTAGAACAAAATATCACGTGGTTCCCAAATTATGTGGAGCCGATAAAAAAAATCAACAACACTTGTGAGGGGTCGGGTCGGGTCGGATCGTGTACGATTTAATGAAATATAACTGAAAAAACCGATCAGGTACCACCAATTAAAATTTTAAAAAACCGATTAAAATGTAATTGAAAAAAACCGAATGATTTAATGAAAAACAAGTTGATTATTAGAGCATTGATACTTTATTGTTTGATAAAAACTATATATTATATTTAATCATATATATTTAACAACACAAATGCCCCATGTAATTTATTTTTTTCTCATTTTAAAATGGTTTTTTAAGACATTTTAAAAAAAAACAAACTCAAGGTAGGTCCTTTATTTAATCTAAGGTGGTTCCTAATTTTTGTAGTATATATATTATAAATGAAATACAAATCTTAGGTAGGTCCTAGGACCTACCTTCATGCTTCTTAAATACGCCCCTGTAGACGGTGTCGACGACACTACTCTTGCATATGTTAGCCAATTCTGATGCCTCATGGAGCGTTTCTTATACCTACAAGTTACTTGACCATACATAACCCTTGTTGTCAACACTTTGAGTCAATTTGTCTCATCTCCACGTCAACTACACTTTGATGTTGCTCTTTATATACTTCTCTATCTCAAAGCCACTATAAGTTAAGGCATTTTTTCCCTCAATGGGTAATCCCACTTTTAAGGCTTCTTGAGACTTAGATTGGATTGGTTTTCCTCACACTAGGCACTTATTTCATTACTTTGGGCGATGCTTCGATTTCGTGGAAGATAAAGAAACAATCTGTCGTCTTCAAGTCATCTGCAGAGGCTGAATATTGAGCTTTGGCCTTTACTGTGAGTGAGATTTTGTGGCTTCTTTGGCTTTTACAAGACCTTGAAGCACCTCAGTATGGTCATACTTCTCTATATTGTGACAATCAAACAGCTCGACATATTGCCAACAATCTCGTATTGCATAAACGCACTAAATTAACATGTAGAAATTGATTGTTTTTTATATGTAAATGCATCGAGTCTCGAGAAATTCAGACTTTTAGTATTTGCAGTAATGAACAAGTTGTCGATACCTTCACCAAACCACTTGGCATAGAGAAATTTCGTTATCTTCCATGACAAGTTGGGTGTTCGTGATCTTCACATTCCAGCTTGATAAGGGAGTAGAAGAAACCGATTACAACTTATACTTATCTTTATCTTGTTTTATTTTAATGAATAATTAGTCTCCTATATTTAAGTTTCTTTTACAACTTGTATAAATACCTTCTAGCATTACGAATGCTAACTAATGAAACAGTTCTAATGAAACAATTGAAACCCTTTTTTGATTTCTTTATACTCCAACAAGAGTACAAGACTATACTAGCACCCATTTTATTATTGGTAAAAATAAGATATATCTTTATATGAGAGTAACATACGTTTTTATTTTCTAATTTAACCTTTTAAAATTTATTTGAATAAGAGTTGCCTTTAAATTTAATTTCTAGTTGAATGGTAAACAAACAACAAACATGAGATTACCCAAGTGAAGCGGTCCAAAAAGGCTTGAATTTGGTAGTTGAATTTGGTGGTTGAGTAGTCATGACGTCTTCCACGATATTCAATTCCTACTTCTTTCTATAAATTACAATGCCACGAGCCTCTATCCTTGGTCCAACTTTAGTACTATACTAAAACAAATCCTCAAAAATGCGAAGCAATTTGGAATCAGATTTGAAGGAATTGAGGGAAACTTTTCATTCCGGGAAAACAAAGGAATCATCATGGAGGATTTCGCAGCTCCAGGGTTTACTCCATATCCTTGAAGACAGAGAAAGTGACATTTCCATGGCTCTTAAACAAGATCTAGGCAAGCATCACGTTGAAGCCTATAGAGATGAGGTAATTTTCACGTATGATAGGAACTATTTCAGGTTGGAATTCTCATGCAACGTGAGTCGACTGATCATAAACAAATTGATTCCGAGTTTCTAGAGTTCATTGTAAATCAGACTCAGTTATTTAAACTTAAAGCCATGAATAGTTTCATAAATTTTCATTAATATATTGTCTTCTTTTGCTTCTTCGATTACTTTGAATGATAAAGAATCTAAATCACTTTCGATCGATAGTCCAAATTCCCACTTACTGTGTGTTCATTGTAAAAATTAGTATCCAAATTAAATGATTTATTAACGAATCTGTGCAGATTGGTCTAGTGGTGAAATCTATAAATTATGCTCTTGGAAACTTGAAGCAATGGATGGCTGCCAAAAAGGTTAATTCCGTATCCGTTTAGAGGTTTAGTTTTATGACTAAATTACACAACTGGAACCTTCATTTTATACTATGTTCCAACTTTGGTCCACTTAGCTTTTAAGTTATATGAAGAAATTAAAGAAGCTATTTGCAAAAATCAGATAAGTTTAACTGTTTTCAAATAAAAAACTTTTGTTTACATGCAGGTAGCAAAATTATATTCTTAGGGTTATAGATCAAAATACTGATTATAGAGAAATTAAATATACTTTTAAGTTTTATCCATCCTTCTTTTCATATACTTAAGACATGATTTGTCACCATTTTCTTGTTTCTTAATTATATAAATAAAATGATAGATAAAAACAAAATATAGAAAAATATTTAATTATTCCTGATTATAATATCTTGTGATTACATGGAAGTATGTAAATTTGTTGATAACAATAAACTCGATGCATGCATACATGTAAGCGTGTGCTTATGTACACACCAAGCCATGTGTATTGGTCTGATATAATCATGCATGTGAAGTCTCATTAATGCACTAGTAAACTACTCCAATTAAGTGTTGGTATGAAGACATATCATGTTAAGTCACAGTAACATTAACAAAACAAATTTTTTTTCTATAATTTGTTATCTTATCTTTGCTATTTATAAACATTTTAAAAGCTTATAAATAGGTCTCATGTATAACTTATTTTTAACTTGTATTTCTTTATATGAAACCATAAAACAAAAATTCATGAATCTTAAATTACAATGATTAAGAATTAAATTAAATAATAGCTACAATATTTTATAACTACAATAAATTAGTTTTAAATAAAAAACTATTGTCTGCTAAATAATATTGTGTTAATATGTTATTTAAGATATCCACAATCCATCGAATATTGTAGAGTTCAGTCGATTGCCACATCATTAATTATTATTTTTTTGAAACCAACAAATATATTATAAAAGGTCACCGCCTAGCAAGTAGCTAGAGAGGCAAGCAGAAAAACAAAAAAAATGATTTTACATCATAATTTTTTGGTTTTTATAGACATCTAAGTGGACATACAAACCATTCAACCCATTTATAATGACAATATAATGTCCTATGATTTACCCATGTGCACACTAGAGATTTGACATTTTGGGTTATCTTAGTTGGAGCAATACGAATGTTTTTAAAAACCAAGTCACATTTTGATTTCCATATCAACCAAATAGTACCATAGCATACACTTATGAGATTATTTCTCATTTTTAGGCATCTTCCCCTCTTCTTTGCAAAAAAAAGATGAGTTCTATGAGCATTCAACTTTTCCATTCAACTTCTATTCAATTAAAATCAGTTAACCACTGTCTTATTTAACTCTATACAACTTGCAACTTGCATTGTGGATTTATAGTGACAAAAAACAAAAAATAAATAAATAAATCATGGCCCCTTCAAAAATTGTTTTGAACCTAGAACATTCACCATAAATGCTGTACGATTATGGGCCTAAACTGAAACTTGATATATATATTTAAGGTACTGTTTATGTAACTTATGGCACATGTTTTCTCAGAATAATAAATGTACATAGTTTGTACCTAAAGAGGCTAATTAAGACATACTAGAAACGTCAATGATTGTGTATGTTCGAGGGTAGAATAGTAATTCACTTCATGAATGATTAACAGGCTAAATTACCCCTAGCTGCGTTCCCCAGCAGAGCAGAGTTGCTTCCTGAGCCTCTAGGTGTTGTTCTCATCATCTCATCTTGGAACTTCCCCATTGGTACAAAAACGCCCCTCGAACTTTATTTTTTTTCATAAAAACTCCTCATACTTTCTAACACCACCGTTATGCACATCATAACATTTTGAATTCAGGGTTATCGTTGGAACCAATGATCGGGGCATTAGCTGCAGGGAATGTAGTAATCTTAAAGCCTTCAGAGTTAGCTCCTTCTTGTTCTTCGATTCTTGCTGAAACAATCTATGATTATCTTGATTGTACTGCGGTTAAGGTTATTGAAGGTGGATCAGATATTGGTGAAAAACTACTTCAACATAGATTTGACAAAATTTTCTTCACAGGTTCATTTCATTTATATAATTAAATAGCAATTAAGTCTCATATAACTACCTCAAACTATTTTTCAAAACGTTTAACCATATAAATTCCAATTTTATTCCATTTGTATGAAATTTTACTTTTTTTTTTTCCTGTTATTCTTAAATTTTATATTTTAGTGGATGTCAATTACGTAGACATAAAAGAAAAGGTTTGCTGAAACAATTTTGTTAAGTACTAATCACGTCTCATAGTTGTTCAAATATTGTGAAAATGTTGAAATATTAAATTAATGAACAATATTACTAAACATAAATCTAAGTGTCACAATTGTAACATTGTTTTGAAATATTGTTATAGCAATTGTTAATATTGATATCGATGTAATGGTTATTTATGGAAGTTTTCTTGTTTTCTAATAATATTGTCAAGAATCAACTAAATTTTTTATTTGAAAAATAATTAGTTCATTTATTACACCTAGATGTGCAATCAGTTTGTTCTGATTTTCTAACATAATATAATTTTTTAATATATAAAATCATTTTACTTATGTATATCTGATTTTTGTAATAACCGTCTTTATTTCAAAATTTTATAATATGTTTGTTATTGTTTCAATAGTATTATATTTATTTTATTATTTTATTTTATTTTATTTTATTTGTAAACCTCAGCTATATTTATGACCAAAAATAGTCATTAAAATAGTTATTTTAGTTGAAACAAAATCAAACTGTTACAAAAACCTTAAAACGATGATCATAATTATAAGAAAAAAAATTATGACCAAATTTGCAATAATTAATTATACACATGGAACAAAATATAATTTAATCAACAATGTAACTGTAAATAATATAATACAGTATGTTTTAAATTACTTTTATTTTGCATCGTCTAATAACATTTTACAATATTTTATGACAATTTATAGAATTCAGCTAGGTTGGAAACTCTAATCGTAAAAATAATTTTAAAGATGAATATTCCTGAAAAAAAAAAAGATAATATAAAATGACATTTTAATTCTGATTTTTATTTATTTACAGGAAGTACAAGAGTTGGAAAAACTGTGATGTATGCTGCCACACAACATTTAACTCCAGTAACTTTAGAGTTGGGTGGAAAATGCCCTGTTGTGGTTGATTCCTTTTCAACTTCTTGGGACGCTAAAGTAATTTCCATTTTATATTAATAAAATAAATAAAATATATTTATGAATTATTTTTGCTAATTTGTAACAAAAAATTTATCAAATTTTCTAATTACAGATAGCGACAAAAAGGATCGTTTGGGGGAAATTCGGAGCTTGTGCGGGGCAAGCTTGTATAGGCGTTGATTATATTCTCATTGAGAAAAAGAACTTGTCAAATTTGGTAAAATACCATATTTTTCTATATATAGGGTTTTTTTTAAACCTTTTATGATAAATTTAGACAATTGTTTTATTATATTAGGTGGAATTACTGAAAAGATATATCAAGCAATGTTTTGGAGATGATCCAAATGAATCTCGTAGCATTTCTAAGATCATTAACAAGAAGCAATTTTCAAGACTGAAGAGTCTCATAGATGAACCGATGGTCAACTCTTCAATTGTTTATGGAGGTTCGTTTGATGAAGAGAGCTTGTAAGTCAAGGATGTGGTACTTTAAAATAAAAAACGATGTCTTAAAAAATAGTTTATGTTTTTATGTTTATCATAGGAAATTCATATAGTTTTGGTATGTATTTTTCTTTGAGTTAAGTTACATGGACATGTAGGTTCTTTGGGCCAACAATATTGGTGGATCCTCCACTTGATGCTGCAATTATGACCGAAGAAATTTTTGGTCCATTGCTTCCGATTATCACAGTAAGAAAGTTATATGCAACACTTAAAGTTATGTGCATTAGCATATATTGTAACATCTCAGTCGTCATAAAATGTGTCTTGGGAGGAGAGATGCCCTTTAAAAGTAACGTCATAAAATTGTAAGAATTAATGTAACAACTTTTGGATGCAGTTGGAGAGAATTGAAGAAAGTATAGAGTTTATAACATCAAGGCCTAAACCACTTGCTTTGTATGCCTTTACAAAAGATGAAATCCTTCATAAAAGATTGGTTTCTGAGACGTCATCGGGAAGCATTATGTTCAACGATATCATCCTTCAAGTAATATTTTAACTTGTGACATCATTTATGTTTTTGTTTAGTAAAATTAACCTGATTTTTTGTTTAAAATTTCAATAAATGCAGTATGCAATAGATACATTACCATTTGGTGGAGTTGGAGGGAGTGGATTTGGAAGATACCATGGAAAATACTCTTTTGAAAATTTTAGTCACGAAAAGGTGGTGATGACGAGGAGCTTTTTAATAGATATGTGGTTCAGATATCCACCATGGGATGATAAAAAGTTGCAAATAATCAAGGCTGGCTTTCGGTACGATTATCTTGGAGCTGTGTTGATTGCATTGGGTTTGAAAAGAAAGGCTTGAAGATTTACTTTTAGTTATTAGTGTTTGTCATAAAACCGGAGTTGTATATCTAAGATTTATGAAATCATAGTATCATTTTCTAATCATGTCATTGTAGAGTCAGAGTACGGTTTCTTCGTTTCGTGGATGTTTTGGGTTAGAACTAAGTTTTTTAGATTTGATCTTTGGAGTTTTTCTTGGTTTGTTATTCATCAATGTTTCTTTAGAATGCACAAAATTTCATTAAATAAGCAAGGTGCTAGAAATAAAGCAACGTTACAAAGAAGTAATTCCAAGGCTGGGGGTTTACGACGAATCAAACCAATTAAGTTTGAAGCTAGCCTTTTTATAAACAATCCGAAAATAAGTATGAGAAATAATTTTGTCGCGATGTAATCTTTTCTTTGTTTTTTTTCCTTTCATGATATATTGGAATTAATGTGTGACAAACAAAGACACAATGATGTTATTAGTACGAGAATGTGTGACAAACAAAGACAGATAATGATGTTGTCATTCGTATGAGAATGCGTGACAAACAAAGACACATAATGATGTTATTCGTACGAGAATATACATTGACGAGCAGAAAAGGGAACAATAAAACCAAACATTTTTAGTTTATAAGTTTTATTATTTATCAACTCAAATAAATAAAAATGAATGTCATTTGCTATTTATTTATCAAACACGTTATAATTAAATAAATTGTTTATGTATTGATTAACTTAAATTATTATGACTTAATATCGGTGGTTTTTGAGCTTTTAGTTTAATGATAAGGAAATGTTTTATGAAAGATCAACATGTTATAGAATAAGAAAGTGTCCTTAAGTGTATAAGGGTATTAAGGTTACGAGAATGTGTAATTTCTCATATATGAATCGATGTATAGGGGAGGCTTATATAGCCGAGATATACAATTTACAAGGAGCTAACTTAGGATCTAATTTAGGATCTAAACTTGGTATATATTTGATGAGTAATTTACAGTTGTCAAATTAGAAATAATAGGAAATTAAACCTTTTGGATTTGATTATTCTTGGGTCGTAATACGCCCCCACAAGATGGAGGATCCGTCGGAGACTCCTATCTTGCAACGTAGACGAAGGAATGGGTTTCGACTGAGGCACTTGGTGAGAGCATCTGCTAGTTGAACATTAGAATTGATATGCATAACCTTTAAAGAGCCAACACAACCTTCTCACGTACAAAATGATAGTCCAAAGCCACGTGTTTCATGCGTGAATGATAAACTGGGTTAGCACATAGATAGGTGGCACTTGTATTATCACATAAAAGTGTATGAGGGGATGATTCCTGAACACCAAGTTCTGTGAGCAAGTTTTGAACCCAAGAAACCTCTGTTGCTGCATTTTCTAGGGCTTTGTATTCTACTTCAGTGGAGGAACGAGAGACAAACTTCTGACGTGCTGATTTCCATGACATAATGTTGGAGCCCAGATAAAGAATGTAAGAAGTGGTAGAGCGTCCTCCATTCAAGATATTTCCCAAATCAGAGTCAGAGAAGGCTTGTACATCAAGAGAGAAGCCTCGTTTAAGATAGAACCCATGATGGATTGTGCATTTTAGATAACGTAGTATCCGTTTTACCACCTACCAATGATTTTCTAAAGGAGAGTGCATAAATTGGGCTAACCGGTTAACAACAAAGGAAACATCGGGTCGTGTAAAGGTCAAGTATTGCAAGGAACCAACCAGTTTGCGATATGGAGTTGGATCAACACTTGGTGACCCTTCCATAGGGTGGAGAACCTGAGAAGAGTTGAGAGGAGTAGCCACTTCTTTAGCACCATCCATACGAAAACTGGGTTAGAAGATTTTGAATGTGACGATGTTGGGATAGAAAGAGGCCATTAGTGATGGGGATAACTCCAATTCCAAGAAAATGATGAAGGGGACCCAAGTCTTTTGATGGAAAAACGGTTTGCTAAGGTACTAATGAATTGAGTTATGAATTTGTTGTTATTGCCTGTAAGAACAATATCATAAACATATACCATGAAAAAGCACAAGATTTTATCATGATTGTAGATAAAGAGAGAGGCATTGAATTGTGATTTGTGAAAATCACAAGTGAAAAGAAAAGATGTCAGTTTTGTGTACCATGTCCTTGGTTCTTGTTTCAGGCCATAGATGGATTTTTGTAGTTTCCAGACATGAGCAGGCAATTGAGGGTGAATGAACCATGGTGGTTGGGTCATGAAGACCTCTTCTGTAACGTCCCAAAAATAATGACATAAAATTTTCGTTTTTTGATTAATAAATCGTTAATACATATCATTTCCATAAAACCAAGGTAATCAATGTTTATCAAAACATCATCAAATCAGAGTAAATCACAGAATGCGGAAACATGTGGTGTGTGCTCTGCAATCATCCCGAGCTCTTCCATTTGAAAACGAAGTACCTGAAACATAAACTGAAAACCATAAGCACAAAACTTAGTGAGTTTCCCAAGATACCACATACCACACATACATAAATCACACACTGGCCCCCCGCCCTCCATCGGGCCTCGCCTGGTCTCGAGTCCCACTCGGCCTTGGGCCCCGCTCGGATTACAGATTTGTCAATCATCAGGCCCCTCCTGACATTGGTCCCCGCCCGATACACACATAATCATATAACCATATAACCATATAAACATATAAAACCTTACTAGCACATGCAATAATCAAAAAGACTATAGCATACCATACAGTCATCGAGCCCCGCCCCGCATTGGGCCTCGCCCGATAAGCATAAAAACATATACTAATAACTAGCATATAATCTACTTTTCAGACCCCGCTTGGCATCGGGCCTTTCCCGGTAAGCATACCATCACACAACACATGCAAGAGTCACGCATACATCTAGCATCCTAACATATAAACTATGGGTCGTCATTGGTGCATTCGACCCACTAAACCCAGTGAGGAAACTCACATCGCACTGCCGAATCACACAGATAATGCGTGGTTGCTGGCTGACAGATCCCCGAACTATCAATATCAAATAACATTCAATTAAAAATTGGAATCCCATCCAAACCATCAGACCATTACTAGGGTAGATGACCAATTTACCCCTTACCTAGTTTGGACCAAGACTTAAGCCCAAACCTAATAATCCAAAAGGCCCAAATACCAAATTAGCCATCCAAGGCCCAATTCATTGCCCAATTTTCCAAATGGGCCCAAATCCCATTGTAGGCCTTCACAAATAATTATCAGCCCAAAACATGATGCCCCAACAGGGCCCAAGACAACTAAGCCCAAAAGAAGGGCCAAATCGAAATCCAAACCTCGAAGTCCAAGCCTGCTGAGTACACGGGGCATACTCAGTTGTACGCTAAGCGTACACGCTAAATGGCTTGTACGCTGTGCGTACAGACTTGTACGCCCAACATACTCACCCAATAAGCCAAAACCTTCCTTAAGCACTTAATGCTTAAGACCAGAAGTCCAAACCACAGATCTACTTCTTAATAAACGTCTATAACCATAAAGTTACTGACTTGGTGACTTTGCATGCCCTAAAAGGACCCAACTTCAAGATATAGCACTTTACTTTCATTAAATGGACACAATCTCATGCATGGGTGATTCTAAACCTTAAAGGTGCCAACTTGATGGACTTTGAACCTTAGAAACACCAAGAGTGGCAACTCATAGCTCCTGGAGTGGTGCCCAACCACTAGATCTCATTCATGGGGCCAAAAAGGGTCCAAAACCCATATCGAATAGATCTATGCTTCTAATGAGCAAGGTCATAGATTTTTACCTCAAACAAGCTGGAAATGAAGTAGAGAATCAGGATCCAAAAGCTCTTCCTTGATCCACAACCTTGCACCAAACTCCATCTTCTTGAATATGAACCAAAACACACCAAGATGCACACAATGAGCTCAAAAACACCACTATGGAGGATCAGGGACGATTGTAGGGTTTGGGGGACTTGGAGGCTGGTAAAGAGGCCATCCCTAAAGACTTAAAGTGCTTATATGGGGTACAACACCCTGAATTAGGGTTTTCACTTACTCCTCGTACACCCCGCGTACTCCTCGTACACCTAGCGTACGAGACCTCGTACTCCCGATCCTTCATTCGCAGTACGCTAAGTGTACACCACATTACGCCTCACATACTACCCTTCGCACCAGTATGCCCCGCGTACTCCCTAGGTACAACCCGCATACTAGGGTTTCCTCTTAAACCATAACGCACTCTGAAGGCCATAACTTCTTCGTTATAAATCTGATTCTGACGATGCTTATATCCATGAAAAGGTAACTAGAAGCTTTGTGCTTTAGTCAGCTCATACCTGCCTTACAATTTCCTAAACAAACATCCAATTTCCATAAAAGCTCGAGTTGCCATATTACCAAGATACCTTTTGGCTCCAAAACACAAACCGAACACCCGGATCGTCCAAATTACATCATCCACCTCCTAATGAGTCCAGATCTCAATTCTTCAAGGGTCCTAAGTGTGTTAATACCCAATCCTTGATCACCACCCCAAAATGGGAAACGATTCGAAACAGGGCGTTACATCTTCATGGAATGTCCCATGGAGAAATACATTGTTTACGTCTAGTTGGCGTAGGGTCCAATTATGCGAAAGAGCTAGAGATAGAATGAAACGAATAGTTATGGGTTTGGCAACTGGCCTGTAGGTGTCAAAATAATCCTTCCCATGTTGTTGGAGGAAGCCTTTTGCGACTAAACGGGCCTTGTATTTGGATATTATGCCATCAAGGTTGTCTTTGACTCGAAGACCCATTTACAGCCGATTGGGTTATGGTTGCCACGCTGTATTAACTCCTCAGTTCCATTCTGCATGAGAGCATTGAACTCTAGATCCATTACCTGGTGCCACTTAGGATCTTTGAGAGCTTGGTTGTGTGTATTAGGTTCAATGGTAGTTGGAATAGGATGAAGAGTCGTGATATTGATGAATGAGTTGTTAAAATATTTAGTATTTTTCATTCCTGTGCATATAGGTTGAGGAGAGGATGGAGGAGAGTTGTTTGGGGTAGTGGCTGTATTAGCAGCAAGAGATGAAACAGGTGGTATATTTGAAGAGACATCAGACAATAAGATTGATGGTGGGTCTGAGGTTTGTGTGGGAGTATGTGTTGGAGAAGTTGGATGGATGGGAGTGGTAGGAGTATGTAATTGAGGTGAAGTGTGTATGGGAGGAAAGGATGTAGTGGTAGTATCGGTTATGTTTTGGCTAGGATAGGTATCAGTGGTGGTCGTAGGTGACAATAGAGGGGGATGCGATGGAAGTGAGG